AAATATTCATCAAATGTTATGAATCATAACTTATGATTAAAGCGGAAAATCAAGTGATTTATAAGAGATGTTTCAATGATTTTAATATTTTCTGGTAGAATATGAATTTTTAAACATAATAATTAGGGTAGAAAAATCATTTGAACATAATTTGAAATAGAGWTCTCTGTTTTAACATATTTATACTTATATGTCTACAATTAGGAATGCATAGAATTAAAAATTATAAACACGTAATTTAAGCTTAAATATTGAATTATACTAGATTATAACCAACAGCTTTTTTTTTGTTTTAGACATTTGGAAAATTGAATTCAAATATTTAAAAAAAAAAAACATCACACTACTTAAGACGCATATTATAAATCGTGTAAAATTAAATAATTATTTAAAATTAAATCAACTTACTTAATACTATAATAGACAGAATATACCCGATAATACTGAATAAGTGAATTATATATTTTATAATTATAAAATATTCATCAAATGTAATGACTAAAGTGGAAAATCTAGTGATTAATTTGAAATGTTTGCAATGAATTTTCAAGGTTTTTGATAGAATATAAATTCCGAAACATAATAATTAGGGTAGAAAATCATTAGAACCTTATATRAAAKATAGTTCTTAATTATAACATATTCATACTTTGTCTTCTATCAGGCCATGCATAGAATTAAAGATAATAAATACGTAGTTTAAGGTTAATATTCAATTATAATAGATTATAAATAACAGTTTTTTTTTTTTATAGAAACTCAAAAAATTAAATAAAGATATTTAAAAAAAATCACACTTCTTTAAATCATGTTTAATATAATATAAAAATATGATTAAACTGTAAACATATTTATGTTGGATATTATAAATCTATCTATTATGATTATAACTAACATAATTTTTTTATAGAAACTCGGAAAATTGAATAAAGATATTTAAATAAAAAACAAATCACACTACTTATTTAAATCATATTGTATATAATATAAACATAAGATTAAACTTTAAACATATTTAAAATGCACATTATAAATCGTGTAAAATTAAATAGTTATTTAAAATTAAATCAACTTACTATCTTCTAATAGACAGAATAAACCCGATAATAATAAATAAGCGTATAATATATTTTATAATTATAAAATATTCCTCAATTTTTATGATTAAAGGGGAAAATCAAGTTAATTATTTGAAATGTATGCAATGAATTTTCTAGTTTTTCGGTAGAACGTAAATTTTGAAAAATAATAATTAGGGTAGAAATATCATTAGAACCTTATTTGAAATATAGTTCTTAATTACAACATATTCATACTTTGTCTTCTATAAGCCCATGCATATAATTAAAAATTATAAATACGTAGTTTATCTTTATTCAATTTTCCGAGTTTCTATAAAAAAAAAACTGTTAAATATAATAGATTAAAACTAACAGTTTTTTTTTTTATAGAAACTCGGAAAATTGAATAAAGATATTTAAAACAAAAAAAAATCACACCACTTATTTAAATCATGTTGGATATAATATAAACATAAGATTAAACTTTAAACATATTTTTTAAAATGCACATTATAAATTGTGTAAAATTAAATAATTGTTTAAAATAAATCAACTTACTATCATCTAATAGACAGAAAACATCCGATAGTAATTAGTGAGTGTATAATATATTCTATAATTATGAAATATTCATCAAATACTATGATTAATGTTGAAAATCATGTGATTTATATGAAATGTTTRCAATGAATTTTCAAGGTTTTTCGGTAGAACATAAATTTTGAAACATATTAATTAGAGTAGAAAAATAATTTTAACTTAATTTGAATTAGAGTTCATAGTGACATAGTTATAACATATTCTTACTTATATGTCTAGT